TTATAAGCTTCGCGTTTTCTCTATTTACATTAATAAGAAACTATAATACTAAGATATTACATATTGATCCCAAGTGAACAGACACGATTAAAATTATTTACAACAAACAGATTTTCCATATGGTTTTTTGATAATGCAATCAAGGTAGGATGATATCATGGTATTAGACTCATGTTCACCTACCACATGTCTTTCACACAAGAGTTCCACGTGAGCCTCACATGTCTAAGAGATGTGTGTCCTCTCATGCATTTAAGAACAATATCAAGTTATCAACTTGGTTCTGCCCGAAGTCTTGCAAATTCTATCATTTTCTGAATTGGAAACAATGTGAAGTTGCTTTACAAAGAAGTCCCCTGCTCAAATAACTTGCTTATCACTCAATCTATAATGAGTCTTTATACAGTATAAGACACGAATAATACATTCAATCTACGGTGCTGGATCAGTTCATCAGAAATCATAAAATGTAGAGTTGTGATTCATGGAATCAATCACTTGTACCTGTTTATAATGCTGCAATCTTGCAGTGATAAAAGAAATCAGTGCCCCAAATTATGCACTCTTACAATTGCTGCTGTCATACATCGCTATATACGTAGTCATTAATGAAAATTTACTTTACCATCAAGAATCTCGACATCGTTATCAGCAAAGTTCATCTCTCTTTCATTACTTTCATCCCAACTCGGCTTATCAAGCAGAAATGGCCATGCCTTCTCTCTGTCCAATGGAGTTTGGAGGCAAAAAGCTGAGCTGTCGTCATGGACTTTAACATTGTCTTCAATGAAATGAGTAGGACGTCTTGTATGACTTCTAAGCATCTTTCGTACTTATCATCATGGTAAGTAAGAAGGTGTGAAGATATGTCTTCCTGTATAGGGAAATTGTAGCAAGACGAGTTGATGAATAATGCTCTCTCGAGGAACCACTTAACGGAAGGTAGTTCCATAGTCCAGAGGAAAGAAAGATTCGGTATTACGAAGATAGTGTGAGAATGTGAAGGTAAAAGAGTCCCACAATGGTAAAAAGAGAAACCTTGCAATGGCTTAATAAGAGGTTGAGTTACTCCTCATATTGTCAATTGGTTTTATGGTGGAACCTTAGCCTTCTTCCCGGTATCATAGCAAGTTGGCCCACGTGTAAAACTCAACAGCCACAAGTGCTCCACATCATCCAACTCGTCTTGTCCACAAGAGTATAGAAACAAAATTGTATCTTAGAAAAATATTATTTCATCCATAACAAGTGACATAAAGTGTAAGAACTTATTGATCATAATATGTCTAACCCCTTTGAGCAGTGTTCGTCGAGTTTAATATGTGAAAGAACTTATTGATCATAATATGTCTAATCCCTTTGAGCAGTGTTCGTCGAGTTTAATATGAGGAGAAACTTTGTATGGAACCAAATGATTCTAAATTAGCCTGTCCTCCATTCGGCATCTAAACAGAATCTAAGGTAGACAATGATTTCTTATCTAGTAAATGAGGCGGAGGAGGTATATGGTCTGTTGCCCCATATCAACGATCCTATATAGATTTTTTTTGTGAGGCAACTTCTGACATATATAGAGGAAGTTGTGATTATACTTGGGGCATTCGTAAAATGCTGCGGATTACCGTTTATGTTGCTCTTTTTGAGCGTGACCATAATCTGGTTGTACTCCTATGTGGTAAATTTAGGGCCATCACTAGATGTCGCTTTGTGTCAGCGTCTTTGGTGGCCTCGGTGCCTGTCTTAGCATGGTTGGCAGCATACCTTCTGGCTTCACTGTTTTCCCATGGTATTTGCGGCCAGGCGGGAAACCAAGGAGCAATGGCGAAGCCAGGAATTCTCGCCGGGGGAGGGGTGAAATTTAAAAAGTTTAGGATCCCGAAAAAATGTGAACATTCATTCGAGGTCTAAGTCCAGGATTTGCAAGAAGATTATTTGAACTACCCGTAATATTCATAGGAGAATTTGCACTAACCGAAATATTCAAAAAAGGATTTGGACTACTCAAAATAGTCGAAGGAGGGTTTGAACAACAATATTATTTGAAGGATGTTTTAGCACCATTTCTCGTTGTATCGTCCTATTACTTAACTGTGTAATTAGCAAAGTTTTAAAAGATGCTAAGCTCTAGTCAGACGGTGGACATGACTTTACATTTAGGCGAGGACCTAGGCAAATTTGAATAAATTTATTATATATCATATAAATAATTGTCTATTTATTATATAGCATATAATATCCGGAAAAACGTTGATTATAAAACACATAATATATAAAAATATTGACAAATTTTCTTTATTACTTTGTTGAATTTGATGGTGGAGAAAAAAAAACAAATAATTAATATTTTACAAATTATTTTTAAAGCTTGTAAATTTAAAAGGAATTTTAAGATAAATAACAATGTCAAACAAGTGGCTTAAAAAATATTGGAAGAGTGGTCAAATTAATTGGACAATAATTAAAAAAACAAAAAAAATTCCAATATAAATAAGCCAAGTTAGGTGGCGCAAATTGATTGGCCAATAGTTAAAAAAAAATTGTAATTTTGAAAGGGCATGTGGGGTGGGATGGGAGAGAGAGAAAGTCTCTCTCTTCTTCTTCGTTAGAACCAAAACCCCATTTCTAGAAGCTATAAAATGCAGATCTTCGTTCCTCCATTCTTTGGCCTTTTTTTTTTTGGGAAAAAAAGAGAGCCCGCGATCAGCTTGTGTTGCGATAGAGCAGGGAAACCCAAAAGGCTAGAAAACCAGACGAAATTTCATCACTTCCAATGAGACCGGAGGGGCGGAACCTAGGCTTGATTTCCGGCAAGGGGAGGGACGGCCGTCACTCCTCGCCCTCACGTAGCTTCGCCACTGCCAAGGAAGAAAAATGACTTTTCGACTATGTGATAGTCTTGATCACAATATGAGCAATGAAGAGGTGGTTTTCCTCTTTGTGTCTGATGAGCTTGTGTAGGAGGTTCCTTGATATTTGTTACGTTCATTGCATGTGAATTAATTTTCTAATGGTGAACCCTAAAGAATACACTGGTAATGACAACATTGGTGGCGTAGGTAATGATTCTGGACTCTCTATTGCACATTCTGGTTCTAATAAAATTAAGGGTGGTTTTTGCTCATTTAACCTAAATAATATTTTACATTGCCCTTTTGCCTCAACTAGCCTTATTTCTGCCCATAGGTTCACCCTTCATAACCATTGCTATATTTTAATTTTTTCACATTTTTGTTGTTGTTAAGTACTTTAAGACCCAGAGGACTCTTTTCCGAGGGAGGTGTGAGAATGGGTTATACGCATTTCCAAATGGCAGTAGATTATCCAATCATCCCTTTTCGGCGTTTTTAGGAGTTCGAGTGTTTGCAAAGCAGTGGCATGCACGACTTGGTCATTCTACTTCCTCTATAATAAAGTTTTTGATTTCAAATAAACAAGTGTCAATTAGTTGCACCTTTGATGTAAGCTTTTGTCATTCATGTCTGTTAGGCAAGAGTACAAAATTGCCTTTCAAGTCTTTAGAGTATGTTTCAAAATTTCCTTTAGAACTTTTGCATTCCGATGTTTGATGTTCACCAATTGTTTCCATTGAAGGTTATCATTATTATTTATTATTTGTTGATGATTATTCACGTTATTCTTGGGTTTTATAAATGAAAAATAAGTCAGAGGCTTTTCAAATTTTCATTAAGTTTAAAACAAAGGTTGAAAACATGTTTAATTGTTCTATTAAAACACTCAAGTGTGATGAATGAGAAGAATATAAGAGTCATGTTTTTTGCCACTTTCTTGACACACATGGGATATCTCAAAGGTTTTCATGTCCAAAACATCTTGAACAAAATGGCCTCGCAGAGAGAAAACACCACCGTCATATTGTTGAAACGGCTATTGTCATGTTGTCTCATGCTCATATGTCTTCGAACTATTGGGTTGATGCTTGTCAAACAGCGACATACATAATAAATAGGTTACCAACTCGAGTCATTTCCAATGAGTCATCATACGAAAAATTATTTCAAACAAAACCTAAATATGATTTTTTTTAAAGTGTTTGGATATCGGTGTTTTCCTTGGCTACGAACATACACACAAAATAAACTTCAAGCAAAGTCAAAACCATGTGTTTTCTTAGGTTATTCACTAGATCACCAAGGATATAAATGTTTGGATTTATCCACGAGATGAATTGATTTGTCTCGCCATGTCCTATTCGATGAGGACTCTTTTCCTTTCCGGGAAATCACACCTTAGCAAGGAAATGTCCAACCACCAGGTAATTTATCTAATCCTGATTTGTTGCTTTTTTTTCTTGATATTTATCAACAGACTCCCTCATCCACTCAACCTCATCAATATACTATAGTCCCTACCTCCAATCCCACCGTGACTAATTTAAATCCTACCTTAGATACTGCTGCGTCACCTTCATCTCCTATTCCCTCACCTTTAAACCCTGCAATACCTGCATCTAACCCCAATCATATTTCCCCCTTTCCCTCTAGCCCTAGTGTGCCTTCCCTAACCCTAGGGTCTACCAGTGAGCAAGAATCATTTCAACCAGAAAATAATCAACAAAAGGAACCAGTTTGTGCATCTAATCCAGGTCATTCAATGACCACTCGCTCCAAAGCTGGAATCCATAAAAGAAATCCTAAGTATGCATTGCATGTTGTTACTAATGACAAAGTTGTTGAGCCCATGTATTTCAGTCAAGCAGTTAAGCACCAGGAATGGAGGAATGCTATGGTTCAAGAGTTCAATGCCCTACAAAGGTGTGGAACGTAGAAACTGGTTCCTTATCAACCCATGATGAATTTGCTTCCCAATAAGTGGATCTACAAGATTAAAAGAAGAGATGATGGTTCGATAGAACGCCATAAAGCGTGATTGGTTGCGAATGGGTTTCATCAAAAGCATGTCATTGATTACACCGAAACATTTAGTCCAGAGGTCAAGCACAATACTATTCATTTGGTACTAAGTCTTGCAGTCTCTAACAAATGGCCAGTTCGTCAATTGGACATTCAAAATGCCTTTTTACATGGCTACTTGACAGAGGAAGTGTACATGAAGCAGCCTGTTGGGTTTGTAGACAAATAATATCCTAATCACGTGTGCAAGTTACAGCGGAGTTTGTATGGTTTAAAACAAGCACCGCGAGCATGGTTCCAATGTTTTTCACACTTCCTACTTCATTTGGGTTTTCAAGAATCCAAGTGTGACTACTCTTTGTTCGTGTTCAATCAAAGAGGAGTTTATTTGATTTTGTTGATATATGTGGACGATATTTTTCTTACAGGCAATAACGCAGTTCAAATGCATCACTTGATAAAGAAGTTGGGGACGCTCTTTTCCATGAAAGATTTATGGCCTCTTCACTATTTTCTCGGTGTTGAAGTGTCCAATTTCAAGCATCAAATGCATCTTAGTCAGACAAAGTATGCCTTGGATCTCTTGAAACGCACCAAGTTTGTTGATGCGAAGCCCATTTCCACTCCAGTTCCTACAGGGAAAAAACTAAGCATGTTTGCCGGAGAGCCTCATCTTGATCCACAAACTTACAGAAGTATCGTTGGCACCTTGCAATACTTGACAATCACGCGTCCTGATCTCTCGTACGCTATGAACCAGGTATGCCAGTTCATGCACGCTCCAAACAATACTCATTGGACGGCTGTGAAACGTATCATTTGATATGTGAAGTCCACTTATGATAATGGTCTTCTTTATAAACCTTGTAGCATGCTTCTCAGTGCATTCTCTGATGCCGATTATGCGGGAGATCCAGATACACGACATTCAACAGGAGGATTTTGTGTCTATTTGGATTCTAACTTGGTTTCATGGAGTTCCAAGAAGCAGAAAACAGTTTCTAGATCGAGTACAGAGGCTGAATATAGACAATTGGCCTATACTGCAGCTGAGCTATCATGGTTGAGATCTTTGTTTCGTGATTTGCAAGGTTTATCCACAGATTGGGAATGATAATGTTTCCTCCATTGCCTTGGAATCGAATCTTGTGTTTCATTCACGAACTAAGCATATGGAGGTCGATTACCATTACATAAGGGAGAAAGTTGTTCGTGGTGAACTTCTGATAAATTTTATATGTTCACAGGACCAAATCGCAGACTTGTTTACAAAAGGTTTGTCTTCATCGAGGTTCAAGCTTTTGGTGTCCAAGCTTCCAGTTGTTCCTCGTCCTGTCAGCTTGCGGGGGATGTTAGATGAAGTCCTCACTTAGTTAAAGTCAACACCAGTTCAAGTGTTTGAGTTGTCTTCTAATTCTTATCTTCAAACAATTGGTTAAGTTTATGACCTTTTCATATATTTTGTAGCTGCGTAACTCTCTTATCTGTGTATGTTTGAATTTCAAATCTTCCTTGTAAATGGGGTTTTCAAACCCTGAATGTAATCTCTAATGTATTATTATAAATACAAGCAACCCAACGTTAATTGGGTATGCACATTGGTGAGAAACTTGGCGTTCTGTTATAGCTTTTCCAACCTTCCATAACTTAGTACAGTATTGTAGTTTCCCTTGGAGTGTTTTGGAAACCAAACATTCCCAGGTTGATCTGAAGAATGTAAAGTATAGGGATTTGAGACATCAGTGGATGTCTTTGTTGATTTTAGAGTTTGGTTCGCTCATGGTGGCGATGAGGTGTTTGTTGAGGTTGCAGAAGAATGATATTGCTAGAGTTTGATGAACGATATAATTGCAAGAATATGTGGAGAGAGTCAATCCTAAAATCAAGGAGAATCAAATATACTAATTGATATTGTCTTCCAATACCCAAGAAGACATTCCACAAGTTTATAGTGACCATTAACTGAATCATATATCCAAACATATAGACACATTTTAGCCTGTCCGACTTGGATTACTGTTGTAGGTGTCATTCATAGGTGGTTGTGAAAGGAATCTTCTTAAAAATTTTGAATGAACGGATTCCACAAATAAAATCTTTTTTTTGGCTTAAATGCCAATGCAAACCAGGCTATAAAGGGCGTCTCAATGGGTGTGCTGCAACTTCTACGATGGCCTCTGTTAGAATTCCTATGTTAAAATGGGGTTTCACGTGTGGGGGAGTGTTAGAAATCCTCTGTCCCATATCGGCCAGAAGGCTTAAGAACAAGTCCTTTAAATAGAATTGTCCCACTCTAACTAACACTGAGGCCTTTTGTATTAAAACCTCACACTTGATGGATCGAGCAGGTGGCCAAGTAGGGAAAATATCGGTGTTGTTAGAGTGGGCCCATGGTCATTCTACCTGAAATTTAAGAGCCTCAAACGAACCGGTGTTGTATAAAGGCAACGCCATGGGAAAATCAAAGGTATGAAATGGATTAAGTAAAATGGTGGGAGAAGAGCTGGTTTTGATGGAGTGTTGGAGATGAGCTTGGATGAACCGTTGGCTGCGGATGGAAGCATTCCAAGCTTTAAAAACACACATGCATCGAATAAGATCCACAGGCTGAAAAAGTAGAGAGATGTTAAAGAGCAACTCCGGTGGGAGGAGGTCTAACATTGTACTTGTACTTGACGCAGCAGCAGAGCAAGAATAAAATCAAATTGTTTTACTAGGTTTAGGAAACATAAAACCTAAAACAAATCTACTCGTTCCGCAAACAAACATAACTGATTTTCTTAAACCAGGATGATTTGTATTGACAGATTATCAAGACTTTATACGGACTAGACTGCTTCGAACCCAAGGCATGGATCTACTGTTCAAGAAAATTAAAATCAATTACATGAAATCATATTCACAACTAGAGTCGCATCACAATATTGACTTTCCTATCTAGTACCCATATGTTTGCTGCTAATTGTAGGACTATTGAGCATTTTTGCTACCCAAACTTAAACACTGCTGGTGTATACTGCTGCTACTTAGTACTATAGTCTAGACTTCTAGTTTTCATTTGTAAGTTAAAGGTCTTAAGTTTGATGTTTGAATCTCGAGAAAGACGAGTGTAAATAAATCATTGTATACATCTTATCGGCTGCTATGTGTTCCTTCACTAAACCCAAACGAACTTTTCCAACATCAAGTCAAACTCGTGTTGTTTTCAACTCATGATAGTAAACATGAGTTTCTAAGAAGAAATCAAAGTCCGCAAGGCAATATACATTTAGTTGAATCAAAGTTTGTAACTAACAAACTGACTATAACTAATGCTAGCTGTTACCATAGATCAATGATACAAAAAAAGAAAAAGAAATACACAATATTACAAAGATAAAAAAGCCTAGTCTAAAGAAAGAAAGGAGCACTAAACTCGGATTTTCTGTTGCTTTGAGTACCATATGTGATGGAACACCTTCTTCAATATTGAAAGTTTCTTCTTTCTCAGAGGTCGAACACAGTTGTTGCTGCCTCCCAACAATTACAGGATCACCATCAAGAAGAACACAAACGCTCCCCGAGCCCCCACCTTCACAAACATTTACCTCAAAGTCACCAGGCTCACGACAAAATTCAACTTTCGCACTCTTTTTCTCTAAATCAAACCAAAAAAGCTGCTCACAGTCCATCTCAAAAAGTACCATGTCGCCATTCTTGGAAAATACCAAAGGTTTGATGTGGGAGTCAACGGACTTCTCAACGGAACAAAGCAGGTTCCAAGATCCCGTCACTCCATATTCCTTCATAATCCAAACATCAATTTGAAAGTCTGAAACCTCAAAATTACGATGACAAATACATAAATAGCCTCCCACCAAACCCAAAGAAATCTCATCCTCGTCCCCACGGATTGGGATGGGAAACTCGCGATATTTCTCACTGGCAAGATCAAGAGTTAGAATCATGCCTGGACGATCGTCATCTAAATGGCAATCCATCTTCCAACTTAAGGCACTGTTCAAACACACGGCCACTGATTGTAATGGAGGAAGTCGAAAGCCATCGCGAGGAGGCATGCTTTGGATCCTTTTCCACGCGTTGGATTTCAGGTTATGAACATTCACTTCATAACTAGCAACAACCATATCCTCGTATACACAATTTCCACAAACAGATCCAGTGGAACGCCGTTTATCTATACTACAAAACTCCACAACTTCCACAAGTTTATAGTCATCATTAGTTGAATCATACCCGAATCCATAGTGCCCTTGCTTCTTCAGTTTGTCGTTCATCTCCGATGGCTGCTGGAGGTGCGGCTCAGAGGTGGTTGTACAAGGAATCATCTTGAACTTTTGAATGGACGGGTTCCACAAAGCAAAAGCTCTATTGTTGTCATAGGTGTGCTCAATGCATAACAAGCCATTAGAGTAGCCCAATATGCTATCACAAGATTGTTCCAATGGCGGCCGTGCAATTTTCATCCCAGTCCCCAACGTATCATTGTCGTACAAAGGCAACGACAAGAAATGCATGGGATCATACAGATTAAGTATAATGGTGCGACAAAAGTTGGATTTGATGGTGATGAACCGTTGGTTGCGGATAGAAGAATTCCAAGCTTTGGAAACACACATGCATCGGATCATATCCTTGGGCTGCAGAAGTAAAAGGATCTTAAAGAGCAGGTCCAATGGGAGGTCTGACATTGTGACGCAGAAGAAGCACAAAGGAATAGAGTAGCGCATTGCCCCTTTTATAGGAGGGGAACTAGTCTTAATTAATTATCCAACAACGTTTGGGAAAACATTAAATAGGAAAGTAAATCTATGTTGTGCGGAAGCGTCAAATATGAAACCAATAAACTACAACGGCAAAATATGACAAGAAAAATAATCCAAAAGACACAAGGATTTATACTGGTTCGGCGTAAGCCTACATCCAGTTCCGAGACGGCGAGGAAATTCCACTAATATCACAAGGAGATTACAAATAGAGTTTTAACTCTCAAACCCAAATCCCACATACACCCAATAGCTCTCACTAAAACAAAGAACAAATGGAGAAAATGGAAACATATACCAAATTCCTTCTCTCCCAAAAGCCACAACATGTAGCACAAATATCTTTGATTGAGTGATCACTAACAAAGGGGGAAGGCAGCAACTCTATTTAAAATGGGAGAGCCGAATGCTCTCTCCTCTGCTCACTGATTAGAGCTGTCAACAGACAACTCCCTTTTTTCTCCTCTACTGCCGCTCCCACTTCACCAAAGGCATAACCAAAAACATATAATAAACAAAAGGAACAAAACCATAATTGCCACATATTCTTTGCCTTTGTAAAAGCCACTAATCAAGGGCTAGACATCATAATGATGTCCCCCTTTTCCTTATTCTATTTTATTAGCCGAAAGGTATTTTGGCTTGTTGTCCACTTGGTCACAAATCCAACAATCTCCACCTTGACCAAGTTCCGAAAGCATTACAGAGAATCGAATCAACAATCACCATAAGCACCCAAAGTACAAACTAAAGACAACGGAAACTAAATCAAATTCCCCAAACTTACCAGTGCTCATAACAATTTCCACCTCGACTCAAACTGTACCAAAGCCAACGAAAGTGAACATTTCTCTACCGTCTTCTCCAAATTTGCAAACCATAAGTGCCTTGATTAAAAAAACAAAAGTGATTCAAACGAAGAACTGAAATTCTTCAATATCACCGACAAAAGATCAAGCACACCATACCAAAGTTGGACACACAACGAACTCCACCTGCTCACAAACACCATGGTCTTAAACTGCACCAATAGACTCATTCACATAGCATGGCACATTCTCCAAGTCAAAACTGATTACAAATTTGGCAACAAGGTCTCACATACCACATACAAAAATATGCCCTTCACTCAAGTTTACCATCATCACATGAGCACCAACAGGACAACCAAATTTTAAATTCAAATAATCAGCAGGAGATCCAAAACCATACCTCAACTGGAGTCTTCAAGAAAACTAATTGCAGATGATGGAGACCAACAGACCAAATAGCAGTGGCAAACAAATCCAACCAAATGTCCATAGACCAAAGTTAGAAAGCATATGACTTGCCTTCTACAAGAGGGTTCCACAAAAATGTTCCGCATTAGGTGTCTCACTATCAAAACCTTGCAGAACTCAACAAATTGGTCCTCACTGAATACAATTTTACCAAAAGGCAAAACCATACCAATATCCAAAACAAACAAAAAAACAATGAAGAGGCAACTGACAAAACACAAGCACAACATAACAAAAGAATCCTTACAAACTCTTAAATCTCCATATGTAGCGAAGAGATTCAAGAGCACCCACAACACCAGATTCCTTTTTTT